CTAATGCGGGAACGGGATATACCCTATACCGCAGTTAGCACGCCTAGCGGCATGCTCTGGGAATGGCTAGTAATGCCACAAGGGCTCAGTAATGCCCCTGCCACGTTCAACAGATGTGTATCACATCTGTTGAGACCAGTACGAGAGTTCGCGCCGAGTTATTTCGATGACGTATTCATCCATAGTCGAGCTATGGATGGAAAGTCGGACGTTGAGGTTCACAGGTACCACGTCCGACAAGTTCTTACAATCATGCGAAAGCATCAATTGTATGCTAACCTCAAGAAGTGTATATTTGCAGCAAGCGAAATACCACTTCTTGGGTGCATCGTTGGTAAGAACGGTGTACGTCCTGATCCCGAAAAGATCAAGGCGATCACCGACTGGCCTGTGCCGGTCGATGTCAAAGGTCTTCGAAAATTCCTTAGGCTAGCGGCGTATTTGCATAAGTATTCACGCAATTACGCCGAGATGACTGTGCACCTCTCTCGTTTGTTGAAAAAGAACGAGAGGTGGTTATGGAACGCTGAATGTCAACGCTCCTTTGAGGGTATCAAGCAGAGCTTGATACAATCCCCAGTCCTAGCAATAGCCGATCAGGACAGGCCATTTCATGTGGTCTGTGATGCCAGCGATTTCGCAATCGGCTGTGCATTAATGCAGTACGACCTTGAAGGCGTTGAACGCGTCGTCTGCTATCAGTCGCGTCAGCTGCAACCAGCTGAGCGGAACTGTCCAGTGCATGACAAGGAACTCCTTGCCATGAAGTATGCACTAGCGAAGTTCAGAGTCTATCTATTAGGAGATAGACCCTTCGTTGTTTACACTGACCATGCGTCCTTACGCACGGCAGTGAACAGCCCGCACCTTTCACAACGAATGGCGCGGTGGTTGTCATTCTTTGCAGAATACAACTTTACGGTCGAGTACAAACCAGGACGACTTAATGTCGTCGCTGATGCACTCTCACGTCGTCCCGACCTTGAAACAGTCGCGAAACCCAACAGCGAGACAGTCACTGTTGCGGTTATGACGTCCTCAGTTCCATCTACAACGTTGTATGATGATGTGAGGCGGGCATACGCCCAAGATGGTGAGATAGTGAAGTTGTTGTCACATCTCTCCCAACCATCTCGAGAATCGTTGAAACGATTGTCGTCTGCGTATCGATCTGCATCAGATCGATACACTACTCGTAACGGTTTACTGTACTATACAGCCGTTTCTGGTGACACACCACGTGTTGTCATTCCAGATGATATTGATCTGCGTTTGCGGATCATGTTCGAGTATCACGATGCTCCTATAGGAGGACATCGTGGCCGAGAGAAAACACATCTCACGGTAAGTCGAGACTTTTACTGGCCCCGCCAGTATCAGTTTGTGCGAAAGTATGTTCGCGCATGCGAAGTCTGCCAACGAGTGAAGTCAAGTCCTTCACTGCGTGCACCTTTACAGCCTCTACCGGTTCCGGCTGAGTGCTGGGAATCCATCTCAATGGATTTCGTCTTCGGGTTACCCAAAGACGCACGCGGGAATACGGGTATTCTCGTATTTGTTGACAGACTCAGCAAAATGGTACACCTTGTGGCTGTACCAGAGACAATCACGGCAAGTGGCTGTGCTTGTGTCTTTATTGACACCATCTTCCGACTTCATGGGTTGCCCCGTGAACTCGTATCAGACAGAGATCCACGATTCACTGCTGATTTCTGGCGTTCCGTGTTCAAATCACTCGGAACGCGCTTGAAGATGTCAACATCTGATCATCCAGAGTCAGATGGTCAGACGGAACGTGCCAATCGTGTCCTTGAAGAGATACTTCGAGGATACGTACACTCCTTTAAGAGTTGGAGTGAGTTTTTGCCGATGGTAGAGTTTGCCATCAACAACTCGGTGCATGCGTCCACGAGACATACACCGTTTTACGTGAATGGCTTGCGCCATCCGCGTGTACCCACCTTACTAGAGTGTAACTCTGGTTTAAGGGGGGGAGGGACTCGCGCGAGCAAAAACCGATTTGGTTCACGCTCATCACGCTCTGACGAAGAGGTCATTGCGTTTGATGCCGATATCGATAACATCGATATCGAAGAAGATGATGCCAGTGAGAGTGCGGAAGCCCTCACTGAAGACAATGATGCCAGTGAGAGTGCGGAAGCCCTCACTGAAGAAAAGGTTGTTGTTGCTGCAGTGCGCTCACAGCACACTGAAGCTAACGAGTCATCAGATGAGTTCATACTGGCTCGTGAAACGGTAGTCCGTTTTGTGCAAGACTCCATCGCCGAAGCGGTGGATAAGCAAAAGCAAAACGCTGACAAGAATGGAAGGGCAAACACTCTTTTATTTAATAAAGGTGACTTAGTCCTACTGTCTACGGTTAATCTACCAAAACATGTAGTGACTAACTTGGGTAGCAGTAAACTACTACCCAAGTACATTGGCCCATTTCGTGTATTGCACCGCCTAGGCAATGCATACACGATCGAGTTACCACGTAAGATGCGAACGCATCCCACGTTTTACGTTGGTCGGCTTAAGCCGTACCATCAGTACGCTGCTTCTTCCGATGAAGAACGCCCTTGCGCTCAAGCATCTCGCAGAGAGCCTTGTGCTCCCGATGGTGGGCATCAACAAGGGTCTGAAGAGCAGTTATCTCAGCCCGAGACCGATCAACAATCCCACGAGCTACCCTTAGCTCGTCACGAAGAGATGTCAGAGATCTCTCGTTCTCAAGCTGAGCAAAGGCAAACTCAGCTCGATGCTTCGAGGCAGTGTCCACCATCTGGAGACGCCTATTCCGCTCATGCTCGAGATCGTCGCGTAACCCTTGCGTTACGCGATCAAAGAAGCTCTCGGGAACACACCGATCCACATGATCGTGTGGAGAGCGTCTTTCCTCCTCCTCCACCTCCATTAGAGGACTCTCGCGGTGGCCAGCGCTATCTAGTTGAGCAGCTGTTGAACCACCGCGACGTGAACGGACGTCGGACGAGTTACCTCGTCCGGTGGCGCGGCTATCCCCCGTCCTGGGATTCTTGGGAGCCCCACTCCCAACTGATGATTGACGTACTGGGTCTGGTCGAGCAGTACGACGCGGCACATCCTGTGCCGCAGAAGGACCGCCGGAGAAAGTCTTCCCGGCACGGTCGTAAAGGGATTTCAGGTTGTCAATCCCTTCGTACATCTCAGTAGAGACACGTACGCGCCACCACGGGCTGGTAAGGAGGTAAGCCTCCTTAGGTGCTCGTGCAGAGTTGTTCACACAACATGGGCACGAGTCTCCCCAAGAGAGGCAGGGTAATCCTTTCTCCCTTGACAGACGATGCAGCTTGTAGCGTGCACCTGTCGGGGTTCGCTTTTCAAACTTATCACGAGCTTTGATAAGTTTGTCGTTCCAAGCGTCACGACCTACATCCTCGAGGTTATGGATGTAGGCGTTCCACGCCTGAAGTAGTGAGGGACCATCACGTTTGTGATTCCCACTGTACCATCGATGTCTGAAGAAAGCATCGATGAAGAACTCATGTTCAGCGCGATAGTCTTTCGCGCTGGGGTCAAGGTGATGGATCCCTGACGAATCGAACAATCGTGTTCGATAACGATCACTCGTCGTCGCCGACAAGTGATCCATGACAGATTTTGGAGGCATCCATGCCTTCTTTTCTGGAGCGAGACGCAACACATTGCGGCCCCGCTCTTGCTGCGACGTGCCGACAGAAGTACTGGCACCTCGCTGTGAAGTGGTGTCCATTGGAGAACCGACACCACTATTAGCGCCCGAGTCTCGCGACCTCGAGCGCCTTCGCTTCGGCGATGGTTCATCTGACTCATCAGATGAACCAAAGATGCTGCGACGCAAAGCATCGTCCATGCCACGCTTGGCAGGCGGCTTGGATTCAATTGCCGTCGATACGGATCCGTCATCCGTATCAGGAGAGTACGAGACACCGAGCTCGTACTCTGTGAAGACACGAGTGTCTTCATGACCAGCGCCTGCATCACCAGGTGATACAGGCTGAGTCGATTCAGCAACCGATGGGATATCAGTTGCTGTAGTTTCTGCTTCGGCGTCCGCACAGAGACGTGCAGACGCGCTCTCGGCGGCCTTGCTCGCGCATCGCATGGGCTTGTTTACCATGCGATGAGATGTTGGAAAGTGGACGCGGACCAACAAGTGCAAACCCCGTCCCAAATGATTTGGGACGAGTATCCATTTAGTCAATCAGTCACTAAAGTGACTGATGGTTAAGGGGGGTGATGTAACGGGGTGAATCGTTACATAACAATTTATAAGAAATTGTTAATAGAATATAACTATAAGAGTTATATTCTCAGAATATTGTCATAAGGACAATATTCTGTAGCACTTCCAAGTAGTTCCTAATTGGTTGATATAGGCCATTATATCAACCAACGAAGACGCGCCACGACAGACGCACGCAATGAGTGGTGAGCAGATAACTGATTTACACATTTGTATTTAGACATAGTTAGATGAAGATAAATAGTGATTTATTGCAGACATTAACTATTATAAATACAGTTCTACTTTTTACTCTAACCGAGTACTCGCTTCTTCTTACCGTCTTCCTCTGCACGTACGAGTGTACGTGAAGTTACGAGGCACCGCCTTATTCTGTTATCAGAATAAGTAGCTTGTACTGTCACCAGTACAAGCTTCAGGGTGCCCCGTTACAATAGCGTTTCGCTCCATCTTCACTACAACTATCAGGCGCGGCTCGTGGGCTCGATCAACAATCTCTTACCACGGTCTGCCAGAGCACTAGCACAGAATGCAACACATCCAGTGTCTCGTTCACCGATTTTGTGAGTCATTCTCCGCCAAGATGGGGGGGGACAATCGCAATCAGACATGGACACTAGCGCCCCACAATGCGAGCAGTCTCCAAGTGAATAGATGTCCGTGTGCTGACAGATGCTGTGAGACATAGCACGAAATTGGCCGAGTTATTTAGCTCCCTTTCATAGCAATGACTTCACGCAGCGGCTACCATGATTTCATGCAGCGACAACGTGTTGCGACCTGCGGTCACCTCCCTTGTCAATAGACGCAGAATTAGGGTTTCCTCGATGGACGACAGCATCTCAAAGTTATCGCGATCCTTTGCAACAGGTTCAGCGGCGCCTATGACAAGTCTCGACCGTGACGCATGTGCAGCGGCGCTCCGGACTCTCGAGAACTCCGACTGCATGTCTTCCCAGAGTCCATACGATAAGAGAGAGAAAGATCGTGCAGATCCAGTTGTTAGAGGTCAAGAGGCCCACGATGGTCGTACCCGACACCATTGCTGATGAGCGCACAGAGGTCGAAGCCAAGGTTTACCCAATCGATGGCACAACTTAAGAACGAGGGGATTCAGTTCAAAAGCTCCTATGTACAATAATCGTGAAGAGTTACGTGTGGGCTCGGTGGTCGTTGCGAGACGAAAAGTTCTGGATAACCACTTTTCGTATCAGAGAGTGATTCGACGCGGACGTTCGCGAAGTACATCATGATCGACTGGGGGCTGCCAAGTCTCCAGCAGGCTGTCTAGATTAACAGCGACGATGGGTAAGTAGACTGTGACTAGTTACGGGACGTCAAAAGCATGGATCAATGCATTAGAGCGAGTGGCACATGAAATTGTGAGGCGCGAGAATGCACAGCTGTAGCTCATTGATTTCGTAACAGCACAAATGCCGGGATGTGACCACGACTGTGTAGCATACGACATTTTCGCAGTCTTGTTTGACTCTACGAAGACAGGTCATAGCGTCGAGGAACATACACTGTTTTCGCCAGTGCGTCGAGTGTGCTAGTGATCAAGTCGTTGCTGTAACGGGGTGAATCGTTACATAACAATTTATAAGAAATTGTTAATAGAATATAACTATAAGAGTTATATTCTCAGAATATTGTCATAAGGACAATATTCTGTAGCACTTCCAAGTAGTTCCTAATTGGTTGATATAGGCCATTATATCAACCAACGAAGACGCGCCACGACAGACGCACGCAATGAGTGGTGAGCAGATAACTGATTTACACATTTGTATTTAGACATAGTTAGATGAAGATAAATAGTGATTTATTGCAGACATTAACTATTATAAATACAGTTCTACTTTTTACTCTAACCAAGTACTCGCTTCTTCTTACCGTCTTCCTCTGCACGTACGAGTGTACGTGAAGTTACGAGGCACCGCCTTATTCTGTTATCAGAATAAGTAGCTTGTACTGTCACCAGTACAAGCTTCAGGGTGCCCCGTTACACCTGGTAGCACTTCGTAGTCCGTCCAAGGACCGCGTTCACATCCAACATGAATATGTTGGATGATGAAGATGACCAAAGCTTTCACGCTACGCGTGACGGCTACTCCCATTTGAGCGATGTCGAATGGGATGCGGTTGAACGAATGGGTTCGACCATGGGCATCCATGCTGTTAGCGTCATGCTAGAGGCTCTCAATAGAGATGCCCAACATGCTACTATCGCCAAGTTCATTCAAAATGAACTTGACGCAGAACGCGAGAAAGTAGCCTTGCTTCACCAACAAGGTTCTCAACAAGCAGAGTTGTTGAGAGAACAAGGTGCTCAACAGTTTGAACTGTTGAGACAGCAGCAGGCTGCTGCTGGTGGGTCGATGCACTCGCGTCGGCCCGAGACTTTGAAGATTGACATCTCCAAGTATAGGGGGTCGAAGAAGACTCCCTCTTGAGATGGTTCGTCGAATTGGATGACGCCATAAGGGCGCGTCGCATCGACGACGGGGATATGCAAGTTGCATTTGCCCAGTCAAATCTGGCAGGACGTGCCAAGACTTGGGCACTGGGGCTCAAGCTGCACGACCCATATGCGTTTGGGTCGTTGGAAGTCTTCAAGTCGCGGCTCAGACAAACGTTTGAACCGCCTAGAGCTGAGTTCAGAGCTCGAACCGAACTCTTGAAGCTCAAGCAGGGTAAGCGTGATGTGCACGCTTACGCTCAACATATACGACATCTCACGAGTTGTATAAGTTCCAATCCGGTGGATGAACACACGTTGGTTTCGGTGTTCATGCAGGGTCTTGCGGATGGTCCCGTCAAGACTCACCTGTTCCGGCTTGAACTAGATTCACTAGAACAAGCCATTTCCATTGCGGAGCAGGAAGACTTCAGTCTGAGACAGGCTCGCGCCAGCTCGACATCATATCGTCAACCGAGACGATATGACAACGGAGGTCCAGAGCCGATGGAACTCTGTTATGTAGAGAGCGAGAAGGCTCGCTCTACAGGCTACAAGAAGTTGCAGAGATGCAACAGATGTCAAAAGACAGGACACTACGCTTACGAGTGTAGTGCCCCTCGTCCAGTGTCTCGCGACACTGGGCGTAGTGACCGTCCACCCATGAGAAAGGGGCAGGGACGAGGGTCCGCAGTTGGTGCAAAGACGCAACAACGGGATGGACCGTCAAAAAACGGACAGGATCAGTAGGTGCGGAGCACCCTACTGATCCAGCAACGTCAAGAGAATTTGTAGGCCTCTTGATGAAGGTTGCTCCCAACACACAGACATTGTGCGTTGCTGCTCTAGGTAATGAGGTCTCACTCATTACCTTGAAACTCGAAGTGACGAATAAGTTGTCCCTTCGAGCTCTAGTCGATTGTGGGGCGTCCAACAATTTTGTGCGACGCCAATCGCTAGAAGATGGTCACTTTAAATTCAGTGAATGTGACACACCTCCTACGAGGATGACGGTACGTCTTGCGACAGGCGCATCCGTAACCGTCATGAAGCGTATAGTGAAGATTCACTATACGCTAGAAGATACCCAATACGACGATGACTTTATCGTATTGGATCTGGATGACAAATTTGATGTCATCCTTGGAATACCGTGGCTCGGAAGGTACGAACCACGGGTAAACTGGCAACATCGGACAGTAACGATGCCTGCCGCTTGTTCATCAGATGGCCATCTGATGAACGTTTTGGAGAGTCCACAAGCGTGTGGATGTACTACGAGTGAGTGCGATGGCCTCACTTGTGGTACGGTCGTTAGTACGACTGCACAAAACCTTAGTGTACCAAACGGTTACACTTCGGAGCAAAGTTCCGGCGGCTGTGAGGAAACACAGGCTGCGCCGAAGGTCCACCACTCGAATAAGTCGGGTGGACTGGGACAAAGATGTATCCCTAGAGGGGAACATCTAGAAGAGAAACAATCGATCGCTCAGGTTAAGCGAAACGATAATCCTAGATCGACTGGAGAGTCTTTCGTAGAGGATCTCGCTGTGGTTGCGCAACCCCCGCTAGAGGAAGTAAAGGGAATAAGTCCCAAGATTACAAAAACGGCGGAAATAAGTTCCCCGAAACCCGCGGGAATAAGTCCCCGGGAAGACGAAGGAATAAGTCCTTCGAAGCCTGAGGGAATAAGTCCCCAGGAAATGACAGAGACATTGAATGTCATAGTCAATAACGGATCATGTGTAGGCGCTTATACACTTGATCTGATTGCGCCTCCGAAGTTAACTTCGGAGATCACTCAGTTGCCAACGCTCGAACATAAAAGATTCTTGCGTGATCTGCGTAGTGGCAAAGTCAAGCAGATCTGCATACTCGTCGCTGAAGACGAGTATGTAACCGACATAAGGTCAGCAACAGTGTTTACTGAGAACGAGAGAGTTCTCAGTAGTTCATCTATGGACGAGAGTGTCCTAGATGAAAAGACACGAATTGAGCGATATGAGTCCCAATCATGGGAATCGCTCAAGGAAAATCCTCTCTATGAAGATTTGGTTGAATTCAAGGATGTATTCCCTGAAACTGTTCCGTGCGAATTACCGAAGGATAAAGGTATTCGACACGAAGTCGAGCTTAAACCAGGCTCGAAGTACTGTGTCATGAAGCAGTGGCCACTGCCTCGTGAACAAGTACTTGCGATCGACAAGTTCTTTGCCGATCGTTTAGCAGCGGGCCATGTGAGGGAATCAACTTCCCCACATAGCTCTCCGACCTTCTGTGTGCGAAAAGCAATAGGAGGGTGGCGGATAGTGCACGCGTTTAACAAATTGAACGCTGCAACGGTACCGGCTCAGACGCCGATACCGAGGAAGGACGTAATCATTGATGGTATGTCAAAGAGTACCATCTTTTTCGTCCATGGATTTGATGGATGGCTTCTATCAAATCCTAATGCGGGAACGGGATATACCCTATACCGCAGTTAGCACGCCTAGCGGCATGCTCTGGGAATGGCTAGTAATGCCACAAGGGCTCAGTAATGCCCCTGCCACGTTCAACAGGTGTGTATCACATCTGTTGAGGCCAGTACGAGAATTCGCGCCGAGTTATTTCGATGACGTATTCATCCATAGTCGGGCTATGGATGGAAAGTCGGACGTTGAGGTTCACAAGTACCACGTCCGACAAGTTCTTACAATCATGCGAAAGCATCAATTGTATGCAAACCTCAAGAAGTGTATATTTGCAGCAAGCGAAATACCACTTCTTGGGTGCATCGTTGGTAAGAACGGTGTACGTCCTGATCCCGAAAAGATCAAGGCGATCACCGACTGGCCCGTGCCGGTCGATGTCAAAGGTCTTCGAAAATTCCTTGGGCTAGCGGCGTATTTGCATAAGTATTCACGCAATTACGCCGAGATGACTGTACACCTCTCTCGTTTGTTGAAAAAGAACGAGAGGTGGTTATGGAACGCTGAATGTCAACGCTCCTTTGAGGGTATCAAGCAGAGCTTGATACAATCCCCAGTCCTAGCAATAGCCGATCAGGACAGGCCATTTCATGTGGTCTGTCATGCCAGCGATTTCGCAATCGGCTGTGCATTAATGCAGTACGACCTTGAAGGCGTTGAACGCGTCGTCTGCTATCAGTCGCGTCAGCTGCAACCAGCTGAGCGGAACTATCCAGTGCATGACAAGGAACTCCTTGCCATGAAGTATGCACTCGCAAAGTTCAGAGTCTATCTATTAGGAGATAGACCCTTCGTTGTTTACACTGACCATGCGTCCTTACGCACGGCAGTGAACAGCCCGCACCTTTCACAACGAATGGCGCGGTGGTTGTCATTCTTTGCAGAATACAACTTTACGGTCGAGTACAAACCAGGACGACTTAATGTCGTCGCTGATGCACTCTCACGTCGTCCCGACTTTGAAACAGTCGCGAAACCCAACAGTGAGACAGTCACTGTTGCGGTTATGACGTCCTCAGTCCCATCTACAATGTTGTATGATGATGTGAGGCGGGCATACGCCCAAGATGGTGAGATAGTGAAGTTGTTGTCACATCTCTCCCAACCATCCCGAGAATCGTTGAAACGATTGTCGTCTGCGTATCGATCTGCATCAGATCGATACACTACTCGCAACGGTTTACTGTATTATACAGCCGTTTCTGGTGACACACCACGTGTTGTCATTCCAGATGATACTGATCTGCGTTTGCGGATCATGTTCGAGTATCACGATGCTCCTATAGGAGGACATCGTGGCCGAGAGAAAACATATCTCACGGTAAGTCGAGACTTTTACTGGCCCCGCCAGTATCAGTTTGTGCGAAAGTATGTTCGCGCATGCGAAGTCTGCCAACGAGTGAAGTCAAGTCCTTCACTGCGTGCACCTTTACAGCCTCTACCGGTTCCGGCTGAGTGCTGGGAATCCATCTCAATGGATTTCGTCTTCGGGTTACCCAAAGACGCACGCGGGAATACGGGTATTCTCGTATTTGTTGACAGATTCAGCAAAATGGTACACCTTGTGGCTGTACCAGAGACAATCACGGCAAGTGGCTGTGCTTGTGTCTTTATTGACACCATCTTCCGACTTCATGGGTTGCCCCGTGAACTCGTATCAGACAGAGATCCACGATTCACTGCTGATTTCTGGCGTTCCGTGTTCAAATCACTCGGAACGCGCTTGAAGATGTCAACATCTGATCATCCAGAGTCAGATGGTCAGACGGAACGTGCCAATCGTGTCCTTGAAGAGATACTTCGAGGATACGTACACTCCTTTAAGAGTTGGAGTGAGTTTTTGCCGATGGTAGAGTTTGCCATCAACAACTCGGTGCATGCGTCCACGACACATACACCGTTTTACGTGAATGGCTTGCGCCATCCGCGTGTACCCACCTTACTAGAGTGTAACTCTGGTTTAAGGGGGGAGGGACTCGCGCGAGCAAAAACCGATTTGGTTCACGCTCATCACGCTCTGACGAAGAAGTCATTGCGTTTGATGCCGATATCGATAACATCGATATCGAAGAAGATGATGCCAGTGAGAGTGCGGAAGCCCTCACTGAAGACAATGATCCCAGTGAGAGTGCGGAAGCCCTCACTGAAGAAAAGGTTGTTGTCGCTGCAGTGCGCTCACAGCACACTGAAGCTAACGAGTCATCAGATGAGTTCATACTGGCTCGTGAAACGGTAGTCCGTTTTGTGCAAGACTCCATCGCCGAAGCGGTGGATAAGCAAAAGCAAAACGCAGACAAGAATGGAAGGGCAAACACTCTTTTATTTAATAAAGGTGACTTAGTCCTACTGTCTACGGTTAATCTACCAAAACATGTAGTGACTAACTTGGGTAGCAGTAAACTACTACCCAAGTACATTGGCCCATTTCGTGTATTGCACCGCCTAGGCAATGCATACACGATCGAGTTACCACGTAAGATGCGAACGCATCCCACGTTTTACGTTGGTCGGCTTAAGCCGTACCATCAGTACGCTGCTTCTTCCAACAAATACGAGAATACCCGTATTCCCGCGTGCGTCTTTGGGTAACCCGAAGACGAAATCCATTGAGATGGATTCCCAGCACTCAGCCGGAACCGGTAGAGGCTGTAAAGGTGCACGCAGTGAAGGACTTGACTTCACTCGTTGGCAGACTTCGCATGCGCGAACATACTTTCGCACAAACTGATACTGGCGGGGCCAGTAAAAGTCTCGACTTACCGTGAGATATGTTTTCTCTCGGCCACGATGTCCTCCTATAGGAGCATCGTGATACTCGAACATGATCCGCAAACGCAGATCAGTATCATCTGGAATGACAACACGTGGTGTGTCACCAGAAACGGCTGTATAATACAGTAAACCGTTGCGAGTAGTGTATCGATCTGATGCAGATCGATACGCAGACGACAATCGTTTCAACGATTCTCGGGATGGTTGGGAGAGATGTGACAACAACTTCACTATCTCACCATCTTGGGCGTATGCCCGCCTCACATCATCATACAACATTGTAGATGGGACTGAGGACGTCATAACCGCAACAGTGACTGTCTCACTGTTGGGTTTCGCGACTGTTTCAAAGTCGGGACGACGTGAGAGTGCATCAGCGACGACATTAAGTCGTCCTGGTTTGTACTCGACCGTAAAGTTGTATTCTGCAAAGAATGACAACCACCGCGCCATTCGTTGTGAAAGGTGCGGGCTGTTCACTGCCGTGCGTAAGGACGCATGGTCAGT